TACCTCGCTGAGTTCATACAAGGATTGAACAAAATATATATGCCTTTCTAGCCCAGAGCCCAGGACACGCGGGTACTCGATAAATGCTAGTTGAGTGAATAAGACAATACACATCCAGACATGACGCCAGCATCCAATCCTAGTTTCATACTCATGTGACTTTGAACAAACAACTCAGTTAACTCATCTTTGAGGAATGAGTAGAATTTTCATCTCTCCACCTCCAGGAAGTCTTCCCTGACTGCCCCAGGCCCCCGTGTTCTCTCCTCCCTGGGAGTTTCAACAGCACTTAATGTCTTAGCACAAGCCACTTGGGTTGTTTATAAGCTTTTAAAAATATACATACTTGTCTCCCCAGTTGACCTGTGGGCAGCTCAGGGCAGGGAGCAGATCTATACTGTGTTTCCCCCCCCTGCACTTTACACCACATACTGAAAACACATGCCCTGTTAGTATCCCCTAATGGTGGTGATGATGATCAACAGCCATAATTTGGGTTTCAAACCTAAATACAAATCAAATGACTCTTACAACAAATCTAAGGCTCTGTCTAAACGAGAAGGGTCATAAATTCAAATGCCTAACGGTGCCAGGTGGGCAACGTGCATAAAGTGGGCCAGGGTAGGACAGTAGGGAATAGTGAGGTCTAGGAAAACTGGAACCAAAACCTTCACCATGCTACCTGTGAGATCATCCCCCTACGCCTGAGTCACAGAAGTATTGCTGGAATCTTCATGACTTAGTCTAACCCTTTTACTAATGAAAATACTGAGGACCCAAGAGGGGAGGCAAATCGGATAGATAAAAACAATACACCTAAGTCTTGTCATTCCTAAACCAGGTATTCCTGCCATACCATGCTCCCTCCTTCCTCCATCTCCAAGATGTAGCATAATAATCACAAACATGTACTGAGCATCTCCTAGATATAGGGCCTAAGAATGGACAAAAAGGAAAGAAATACAGGAAATAGCCGACTTGTGATTCTGATAAGGAAGACCTTTCTAAGGAACATCACAGAGGCAATCCTAGCCTCACAGCAGAGTGGAAAGGGAAGGCAAATCTCCAAGCTGCCCAGGGTCTGGGCTAACCCTGGTGGGATTGTCTGGGCTGATTACTTTCAGACTCTATGCCTGCAATTCTACTAGCTGCCACCAGGTGGGGGCGGTGGTGTCTCAGGTCATAGAGCTCATGGATGAAAACTAGTCAGATTAAAAACCTCACCCCTGGGCCGGCCGAGTGGCGCGATGGTTAAGAACTGGCTTGGGATGCCAGAGGGCCCCGGTTCGGATCCCACATATGAGGGCCAGTGACACTG